TATGGCTCTAGGAAACTCTGGAACAGTTTAAGTTCTATAAAAATTATTGATAGCTTGAGGCAGAAATAATCTTGTTCTCATTATCCATTTTATGGTCTTTTAAAGGGAAGCTGTACACTTCTCCCAGACTGGTACAGTTACTTTTTTTCATTTTCCCTCATATTTTCCATAGTGACTTTAATGTTAACAAAAGGTATAGAGGGACAATCCAGAATGACAAACCCCCCTGCCTACAAGACAAGTACAATGTTGACAACAGGCAGCACAATTTTCCTCATACTGTCTCAAGTCCTGACATGGAGGTAAACCTTGTAGTAGCAAGCAAGTAGTTCAATTTCTATACCAAATGACTCCATACGCTCATTATTCCTGTTTGTGGTTTCAGCATGTGCAATTATGACAGTGTTGTATATGAGATATGTATTTATCCATTAGGAAATGGATTTTAAAAAGATCCCCCAACTTCCTTCAGCTGATAATGATTTTGGGTGACTCCTAATCTGTCTCAGATTTCAAGTACTGACCTATAGCTGAAAGGCTCCATTATCTGTACTTTGAGCCATGCTATTCAATTTTACTGGAGGTGGTAGGGAAGGGAAATCAATCTTATTAAAATTTGACATAATTTTGATACTACACACTTGTGCTATGTGGACAAAGGATATAGTTTCTTTTTAAAAATAGCATGAAACAGACCAAGCTTGTACATTTCACAAGCTGGCAAAATGCACTGATACATAATATCCAAAAAGGTGCATGACTTGCTCTTAAAGTTCACTGACATGCATGAAACATGCTATAAAATTCTGCAATCCCTGTCATTTTCTTCTTTCTTTCTAAACTTTTGGTGATCGAAAATAGTAAATAACTTAATAGAGGGTGCAGCCCAGGAATTGTTGGTTGGGTCTTCTTCCAACATAAGATATTTTAAAAATATCTGGGATTGTTGAATAATTTGCTGAATGATCTGTTTTGACCCACCTCTTCTAGACAAGTATATTTCTGATAAAGTGACTTGTAGTTAGGATGCTACTTTCTGTATCTTTGAGAATACAGAAGAAGTCTGCTCTGAGTTTGACAGCCAAACAACTAAGCAGCAATACAGGATAAAATCTAGTCTCATTTATGCAGCTAGCTAGTGGTTGGATATTGGTAGCTGATCAATGTGAGTCTGGACAAACATCCCACCCGAGATCCACCCAGTGAGGTCTATGTTGCAAGAATGCCTGTTTAAGGTTGATTTCTGATTCACTGCTTCTGCACAGAAATGTGTGGACAAGCATCTCATCTGTCCACAGATCTTTTTAACAGTAGAAACTAGCTCTTAGGATGGTTGCAATTTATTTTTGAACTCACCACTCCGTTAAGATAAATGAGTAAGTTCACTCCTCTGTCAATACTATTGTTTCAGTCTACCTTGCTACAGATAGAACAAGACACCATGCATTGATTTACTGAGTGAAGGGTAAGAACCAAAGAGTCTAGGAACTATATTAAAAAATTAAAGGTTTCAGTCTGTTTTTTTTTAAAAGGAAAAGAACCCTTACCTATTCTGAATCTATGGATTTATTTAGTCCTTTAAAAACTGGAGTATACTATTGACATGATACCGAAAAACATCATTTCAGAGGATTAACTGCAAACACTGCATTAAAGGCTCTTTTAGTTGCCATGGTGGGATAGAGTAATTTATTTCATTTTTCTATTTTTCTCCTTAAAGAATATTCCTTTGTGATTCTTCTAGACTTTTGATATTAATGTTGACCTATGTCTTCACCATTTGCAAATCTGCATTGAAAGATAAGAGGTCAAAGACATCAAATCTTAAAGCCAAACTCAAAACTCAATGGAAGTTAATCAGCTTTTTTTTATTATGATTTACCCAACTCCATTTTCAAAATTAATATTCTGAAATGTTGCCATATGAAAACTTGAGAACAGCAATGTCTTATTTTTTTCTTTAGTGCACTACAGCAGATCTTGAAAATTTCTTATAGGTGCTTAACATTTGGGTATCCAAATTTAAATAACAGGTATTTTAAACTAATTATTTGAGTGTGTTTATACAATGAATGACCTCCCAGTGTATCCAGATTTTCCATTCAATTCCACTTTGAGTTAATGCAATATTTCTCAGTTTTCACTCTGTTTTGAGAAAGTCTCCATTAAAACTAAACTTCATTGGATAACATTTTATTAAGCAGATGCTCTTATGTGTGCATTTTGGATTTAGGGCCTATTTTAGTCATTTTCAATTCATTATTAATATCAGATTGAGGAGGATTTTTTAACTGTGTGATTTTTATAATATAATCATGATGCTCAAAAATGACCTCTTAGAGTACTGAAAGTTTTCACAAATGAAGTGTAAAAGGAGAAATTATGAAACTGTTAGGAAATCCCAGAGTACTGTACTCAGCAAATAACTGGATATCCCAACATTGTTCATGACAGTTATTAGCAAGACATATTCTTTCTTTGAATAAATCTATTGAAAGGCATATAAAAAACTTTCAAAAATTATTTTTTAAAAAGTAACTAATCCTGGAGGAACTCTCTTTTGGAATAATTTGCTTTACTTAACTTTTTCTTCATAATTTTTGACCCAAAATTAAACTATTCTTAAAGATTATTGCCAACTTAATTACCCCATACACATCAATTAGTAGATATTAATCTAATTTAAATTATTTCCTACAAAAATCTTTATTCTTAGTCCAAGTAATCAGGCTTTTCATTTTTCAAAATGACTACATACTTTGCTTTATTAACTATATTTATATTTGTGTGCCTGGATAGGCCTTGTAATATAGTAGACTTTAGTACGCACTAGCAAGAAGGTGAGCTAAAAAACTAACAATATTGTGCTGCCATGGAAGATTTGTGTTTTCTATGCAAAAAAATATGTACTCAATGGTTTTGGTAAGGTTAGAAATTATAAAAATCACAATAACTGAACTTTTAAAAAGTTTATTATAGAAGAGTTAAAGGGTCATTATCAACTTAATCTCTAGTAATTTTACAAACGTGTATTAAGTATAGTTTCAGATACTATACCTGCCCCTGATTCCTCATGCAAATTTTTGCGTTTTTATGATCACATTTTCCTGTGTCTAAAAATGTTATTTTCTCTTTCTTGTGATAAAAATCCATTAAAAATTTATTGTACTGAGGAAATATGAAATTGATTATATAAGTGCTATCAAATGCATGATTTAAAAAAAAATTCCTTTCCTCTAATCTTTTCCTACTGTGGCAATCTTAGGTATTCCTTATAATGATAATGGTTAAAAATATTTCAGATAAACATTTTAGGATGTGTCCCTTTAAAACTGTCCTTCAACTACTTGATTTTACGCCTACACTAAAATTACATCACATGAAGTTGAGTCATGCCAAAATATCCAAAACAGTTAAGGATTAAATAGATCACACATGTCCTCCAATATTTTGGCAGGAAAAAAAGTACATTAAGGACGCAGTTAAGGAAATACTCTGTTCTACTCAGATGTTGGATGGCATGCAATATAGTATGTTTCACCTTCAGCTATGTTTGTTTCCTTTTAATTTCTTTGACAAAATCTTAATGTTCCTTGAATACACAGTATATTGTCTATGGATCTTTTTAAATAGAGTGATTACTGTGTAGAGTCATTTTTGGTACAGAGACTACATTTTAGCATGAACTACACTGTAGCCAAGGGGGTAAAATATATTGTGTCAAGTGATACATAAGTGCCGTGTACCTGTGATAATATATTAAATGAGCATTTTGGGCAACCAAGAATTGCCACATGTGCAAAATAAGGTTTAAAATGTCATCTTGAGATCTTTCTATGATTTCTTAATAAAGGGAGCAGTCATCTCATTTTAGATGCTGTGAGCTTCCAACATTCTTTGCTGAATGTGCTTCTTGAGTTAAATAAGAGGAAAGCACATCTTATAATTCAAATTTTAAATAAAAATATGCTACCATTCTGTGCCAACTTTCAGCCTAGATCAAGTTCTACTGTACAGTTATGTACCTATGAAAACAGACATTGATATAGAAAGCCCGATATGATCGTAATTACATCAGGACTAAGATTCCTTTCTACACTACATGCTCTGATATTGCTATCATAGGGCAAAAAAGTCCCCTTAATACCACACCAATTTCATTCAGGATGGCACACTTTTCTAGTCATTGTATTTTAGGATTCAGTCTTATCCCTTTTGAAATCCAAGGGAGTTTTTTTGTGGACTTCATGGGGTATATGATTGGTCTCTTACTGCAAAAGAAAACAGTTCTAATCTTCAACCTCCCCCCGCCCCCCACCTCCCAAACACACACTATATGCTTCCTTTCCAGAAATACTAAGTTTTAAAGAGTCATCTACTTGCCTTTGAGGGAGTTACCTGCCAAATCATTCATAGAGAACAAACGAAAAAGACAGGTATTTCTGCTTCCTATTATCTGTACCAGAAACAATCACCCACCCAAGAGAAATCCCTTCAGAGAAGACACAGGTTGTATTTTACAGAAATGGGCAGAATATTTAATCTATTTGCCACCTGTATCCATAGAGCTCACTTGAGCCAAAAGAATAGTATGTAGGTAACATGTGAACTTAAAAAGCTGAGGTCTTCACAAGTTTCATTGAGGTTTTTAATCAGTACCACATTTCCTGCTCACTGAGAGCATTTCCTCTGAGAGCACTGGACCAGCCACTGTCGTGGGGCTGCGGAATCCCCCTGAACTTGTTCCTCTTCTTGGTGCTCTAGAATTCGAACATTGCCCATCAGTCCCCGAAGTGGGGCAGCCAATTCGCCCTCTTAGAAGAGGGAGAGCAAAGTACCCCCAGCCGTGCAGGATAAGCATATTGCTCCCGTCATTGCCATGGCTACTGCCAGCTCCCCAGCACCCGACTGCCACAGCCAGGTGCCTAGAGATAAGAAAAGTTGATCTGAGCAAAGCCACACAGAGTGACGCCTTCCCACCCCGCCGCGCCTCTCTTTACCTTGGTTGCCGGAGACTGGCTTGCAGCCCGCCGGGCACGCCGTCAGCAAAGGGAAGAACAGGCCAAATTTCCAGAGCAAACCTCTCGCTTCACAACCCCCCATGGCTGGTGCCTGCGCCCCCTGGTCCTTGCCCCGAGAAGGCGGGGCGGGCTTCAGGTCCTCTTCCTCCTCCAGGCCAGTGGGAAACGCTGCTGCCCCCAACGCCGGAGGGCAGGGTCCAGTCAGCCAGGTGCCTCTGATAGGGCTGCCGCCAGGTGCTGCAGAGGCTGGAGTAATTGCATCCGCTGGTGGGGTCCCGGGGCGGGAGGCGGCGGCCGAGGGAGGCGTAGCCACAGCGGCCAGAGGGCTGGAGCTGCCGTCCTGGCTGGGGGGCCGGGGCACTGGAGCGCAGCCGCTGGCGGGAGCCGGGCGAGCTCCGGGAACTTTGCCTAGGGGCGTGGGAGCTCGCTGCCCTCCCGCCCGGGCTGCCGCCGCCAGCCCCGTCAGCCCCGCAGCAGCTTCGGCACCAGCCCCCACAGCGGCGGCAGCCTCCTGCTCCGGAGCATCCCCATCCCGCCTCCGCACCACCCGGCCCCCCCACGAGAGCCGACGCCGAGGCGGTTCAGCCGCCCCCCCTCCCCCAGCCAGGAGGGAGCTCCAGCCCTCGGGCCCCCGGCAGAGGCGGGAGGACGCTGAAGACAGCTGGACAGCTCCCCGAGCCGCCTCACACCTCGGCAAAACTTGCAGCGCGCCGGAGCCCCGGCGCCTGCCCCCCGGGCGGTCTCCTTCTGTGCCGGGGCGCGAGCAGGAATGCGGCGGCTCTCTCCCGGGCTGCCTTGCCTTCAGGTCGGCTGCAGCCTTGGGTGCTGCCGCCGCTCCTCTCTGCCGCCTCTGGAGCGATCACCCCTCATTAGCGCCCGCGGGATGGCTCCGAGCTGGCGTCGGACGTGCAGAGCCGGGGGGTCTCCCCGTCCCCGGGCAGGCGGACATTGCAAGCAGCGGGCATTGCTCCCTGCAGAACACCCTCCCCCCCAAAAGAAATGGATCGCAATAATGCGGCTGGTCCTAAATGTGGGCAGAGTGTGGCAGGTGGAGGGGGGGAGGTGAAAAGCAAGGAAGAGCTCGGACTCTCGCTGGCCCCTCCTCAGCTGCTCTCCTGAGAAGAGGTGATACTGAGTGCGTGTGTGTGTGTATGCAGCAAGCGGCGAAGAGCGTTCCTAGCCTGGAAGCTGCTAGCAGCCCGCAGGTCATATGCAGCCTGTTCAGCACTAGAGGGGGTTAGTTGACAAGACAAAAATCCCTCTACTTTGCTGGGGGGTTGTGGCTAAACATTAAAATATCTTAAGAGGAGAGATGCACTTATACTAAACTTAACTCATTTTTAAAGGCGTACTAGTCAACCTTGCAGCGTATTGTGCAATTTGGTTGTTCTCTTTAACTGCCTCGCTCTTTTCTTAGAGAATTTGTCTTCCTTAGAACAATTTGTTCCCATTTTCATTAGAATAATAAGGGCCAAAGAACTAATGGGAAGAAAGAGTGTGTGCGTATATATATATATCTGGGAGAGGAGGAATAACTTTACATAAGGGTACTTTTACTAATGAATATGGAACAAAAGAAAAGGAATCTATTGTCAGCTGGACAACAATTTACCAACTATGATGTTATCAAGCATTTTAGGAAAACTATGCTTAGTATTTACTAGTTATAATGCCTTTTAAAGAAAAAAAGTGGCTCAGTTCACACAATACATCCCAGCTAGAAATATTTTTGGCATGTAGGTCTGAAGAAAAACGAATTGTATATTCTTTCTAATTCAGTTAGCTACTCGTGTGTGTATCCTCCCCACAGCAACAAAAAAGGATGCTACTTTCTGTCCTTTGTAGAAATATGAAGCATAAGTAATTTTGGGGAATGGATATATATATTGATCAGATCAACATGGTCCACCTCAGAGGTTAATACAGTATATCCCTATGAATGACAAGAGGCATTACCTTAACTTTTGTTTTGAGGTGGATTCAATATTTTAACTACTGCGCTTAAAAATAACCCTTTTATATAGGGGGTCACTCACCCCTGTTATTTGTTTTGCCATTAATTCATGGTAGGCCCTGTTTAAGGGAAATATTGGAGTTCCTGAATGTGTAGAGCTAGAGAAAAAAAATAAAAATACAGGGGTCCATATTTTCAAATCTGGGAGCCTAACATTAGGTGCCCAAACCCATATTTATACACTAAATAAAATTAATCTAATTTTCAAAGGTGCTGAGCAACTTCCAATCCCATTTAGGTCAACGGGGAGGTCAGGTAGAGGTGCACCACACTGCAGAAAATCCAGCAATTTTTACTTAGATACCTAAATTTGATTAAGAATATAAAGCATTTCATGGAAACATGACTGTTTTGTAATACAGGAATTTAAAATACTGACAAGAATTAAATTTAGAATCTGTTATCTTACTAAGGTTTTCTTTAAAATAGCTATTTAAAGTAATTTTTCTTATACTAAAATACAGCAACACTTTTGCGATACATATTGACCTTAAACTAAGTTAATCCTTCACATGTCATTAGTTTTGGTAACAACCTATTATAAAGTTACTTTCCTGTGCAAGGGAAAGTTAATTGGAGTTTACAAAAACATTTTCTCAACAATTGGGTAAATATTAGTGTCTTGCTCTAGTTTCATTTTGGAAGCATGAGGAGAAAGTTAGATTCTGTTTTTAGAAATTCATCTGCCATATGGAAGGCACAGTTAAAGTACCTTTACAATTACATCATTAATTTTTTTTTAAGGAAACTGTAATGAAACAAAGAAATAGTAGTATTGAAAAAATTTTTAGTTCTATTCTTTCAGGAGAATTCAGATCTCTCAGATTTCAAATGCATATTTGCTTTTGTTCTTGTTTCAACAAGATGCCTTACCGCCAAATTATCACAGGAAGCACTTAATTCCCCAAAAAATAAATAGGTGCCTCCAGATTAAGGTGTGTCATTTAATCTCGTTCCTATCCATGAGAATTGTCTGTTAGTGGCCAATTAAAACACATTTAAAAAAATTGTAATACCGTGGCCAATTAAAATATATTTTAAAATTATAAAGCAGCAATACAAATATTGTGATTAAGGTGGGCTTCCATCCCTCACATTTATGGTTACTATATGCAGATTTTGGCTGTGTAAATTAGATTTTTCTCAAACAGCATTACCTGCACACCACATATGTATATATATGAAAATAAAATACACACTGTTGTATGCCTTCCTCAGAGGTGGCTGTATGACTTAAAAGGAAGTTGCTTACTGCACATCAACTATCCTTAGTTGTGAAGAATAAATCCAAATTAGATTAAAAACACTAAAAAATTCTGGTTTACAACCTCTTTATTTTTAAATGTCATGTCAGGCTGTAGTTAAATAATGACAATATCACTGCAAAATCTTTGTATGTTTTCTTAAACATGTAAAGTGCAATCTGACCTCCAGGTAACCTTGAATTCCACAAGCTACAGGGAACAGTTATGTAAGAGAACAGCGAAAAGGGGTAACACTTTATCTTAAGTGTCTATTAACTAATGCCTAGCTAGATGCTGAATTTCTGCAAAACTACTATGAAGGCAAACCTAACGTTCATAGAAATGCTAGACGAAATTTCCTATTGCCATAAATTTCAAGTGCAGTCTTAATCAGATGCTTTGTTTTATTTAAACACAAACACACCAAGCATAAAAGAATAAGGAAATATAAACAAACACTCTAGGCATAAATATACAGGGTCCCTATAATTTGCCTCGTCAGAAATCTCTGACCAGTAACTCAGCAACTATCTTAAATAATGTGCATCATTTTCACTATTTTTAGTCCAATTTGTTTGGAACAGGTGGAACATTAAACTTTAAAAAACAGCAATAAAGCAAGAGAGGGGGGATAGAACTTTGGAGCCACCTCAAAACTGAAACAAAGATTCCTAATGAGTATATTCTTATAGAATCAAGGAAGTTGTACCCCTTTAAGCCAGCGCTGAATGTGGCCATCACTTCAACAGAAAAAAATGCTGTTTGATTTTTTTCTGTATTTTTTGAATGTGATATACTCTGCAAAACTGATTTTTTCCCCTGTTTGGTGTACTGCAAAAACAAACATTTAACTAAGATAGAATCAAATTAAATTTCATAGATAATATAATAAAAGGTAAACAGACTTAGCCTTTTCTTTAGTAAAAAAAAAAAAATCTATAGAATGTATCTTACATTTTGTTCATGACAATAAAGTGTATTGTGAATTAACAGATATAGTTACAATATTTTACAGTATGTAAAAATATATGGAGTAAACAGAACTTGTTAAAAATAAAATAAAATCTTGACTAAAAAGTTGGTGGCTTGAGGATAGATCTACTCTAGTCATTAAATGCAATTGTCTTTGGGGAGTTGATGGGATTTAGCATTGTTTAAAATATTGTCATATTTGAGCCAAAAGTTTGAATAATTATCCATGATTAAAAAACAGACTAATGTAGTAAAATAATTAATCTGGAGTATATAAACTCAACAAAATAATTGAAATATGGCTTTAAATCTAATATATTGTTTCCATAAAATTGTCTGTGCTATTAGCATTCTTAATTAGTTAAGTAAACCGTTGATTTGTTAGTTCCATCAACAACAATTTTACAGAATAGGTCACATGTTCAAGATTCTAAAATTACACTTTTCCATACAAATGAATTTTACGTGAGTTCTGTTGTTGTATAGAATTGTTGCTGAAGTGAGCAGTGCTGTTAGTTTAACACAGCCCTTACCTTTTAGCAAATTTAATAGTAAACTTTTATTAATACAGGACAAATAGTTTTCCTCTATTACTGCCATACTCTGACTCTCTTTGACAGTGCAAAATATTGCTGCTGTATGTGTAAAAATGTAATCAGCAAAGCAAGTGTTTCTTTTGTTCAGTACTTGCAGTTTTAGTAGTTTTCTAAGTTCACAAAAACCTAAAAGTCAGAAAAGAAAAAAAATATTTTCGGCCATATCATCTAATATATTGATGATACATAAAGGTGAAAAAAAAACCCACATTTTCCAAAGAAGACAACTTGATAAATCAAGATAAGATTTTTTTTG